TGTGTGTGCGTGCGCATGTGTGTGCATGCGAATGTGTGCGTATGTTTGTGCGTGCGTGTGTGCATGTATGCGTGTGTGCGTGCGTGCGTGCATGCATGTGCGTGCGTGTGCATGTGTGTGTGGGGGAGCGTCACACCTTTGGAGCTTAGGGCTGCACCCGGGAGTTCTTGGGGTGGATGCGGTGCCAGGAGAGCAACCAGGGCCTCCAGCCGCCAAGCAGGGGCGCTGCCCCTCCGAGCCCCGGTGCTGGCCGCCTCCTTCCGGCCGCCCGCAGAGGCGCGGGGGCTGCCCTGTCCCGGATACGTGCCGCTGTGGCCACACCCCCCTTCCAGGTCCAGGACGTTTCCTCCAGTTCCAGCTGGAAGGACATTTATCTTCTCTGCTCGTCCCAAGTGCGGTCCCAGCTCCGGCGAAACCCACAGCTTTGTCTCGGGCCGGAAGCGGGGCTGTCCTGCTGACGGTTATGCAAGTCGGGACCATCCCTTCAAGAATACCATAAGTTGCGAAATCCCACATTTTCACTCCGGATTCCTGGAGCGAGTCCCGCCAAGTGCCGAAGGACGGCCGCGTCCCAGGGGGCACAGGCTCGAGCCCCCTTTCCTGCGGCGAGCAGGTGGGCGGGCTCGTGAACCTGCCAGTCTGGGGGTGAGCCTGGGTTCTGGGGCGTGGGGGCGCTGCGGAGCAGAGGACAGCCCTTCCTGCCAGGAGAGGGTCAGGGTGGAGACCCGGAGGAAGACTCAGGGGTGCTGGGTTTCAGGGGTGGCTGGGCAGGGGTGCTCCCTGGAGACTGACGCCAGCTGGGCGTGGCTGGATTCTGGGCGGCTGGGGACAGCGCTGTGCCCAGTGAGGGCACCCTGGGGGGCACCTAAAAGAGGTCCCCTGGGGTCACATGTGCGGACCCCGCCCTGCCGCCCCAGGGTCTGAGTGTGCTCTGTGTCCTGCGCCCCTTCCCTGCCCCCGCTCCCTGTGCCAGGGCTGGTGGCCGCTCCACACATGCCTTGGTGGCATCTGTGCCCAGGAGCCACACTTGGGGGCCCCTCCGGCTCTGTGCTTGGGGGTCGCGTGGGGGATCCCTTGGGCTAGGGCGCCAGGTGCTGCCGTGCCAAGACGGGGCCCAGAGCCGGCTTGGGGACCCGATTCACACGGGAGGGGAGGAAGGGAGTCATGGGCCGCCCCAGGGTTGGTCTGCGGGTTTCTGCTCTCCCTTCTGGGCCAGGAATCGCTGGGGGCCTGCCGGGCTCTTCGGGCACCCTCAGCGCTGGGGGAGGGGCAGGGCTGCACCCCTCCCCCACCTCTCCCGGCTCTGGACACGGGAACCCCCGCTGGGTTCTGACTCCAGGAGCCTCTGGCCAACTAACGCCCAGTGGTGGCCGCACCCTTGAAGGGGCACGGGGTTCTGGCTCAGGGGACGGGACACCTGGTGGCCGGTGGGGTTGCGGGGTGCCCAGGTCAGCTCCCAGGGCGCTTTCCTCCCCGTCCAGCAGAACCTCTGGGGTCGAGTGGCCAGATCTGGATGGAATGAGCGTCATCCCGGCGTGGCCTTCCCAGACCCTGCCCCCGTGGACACTGCTGATAGCGGCCCTGCCGGCCAGCCACCGGCCCCTCTCGAGGCTTCTGGCGGTTGCCGGGTCTGACTCACACTGACCTGGGGCCCGCGACCACCTGGCAAAGCACAGAGCTGGGGCCTCCCCGACGGTGGCCGGCCCCCCAGGTGACCTGCTGTGGGGTGCAGCCAGGGACAGTGGGGACGGCGACGCGGGCACGGCCCTGCCAGTCTCTCCCTAGTCTGAGCCTCGGTTTCCTGTTGGCACCGCGCTGGCGGGAGGCGCGGCACAGCGACGGCGGCACGGCCTGCCAAGACGGCGCTCGGCTGAGGACTCTGGTTCCCAGCCCCTCTCTGCGTTGCCGTGACTGTGCCGAGGGCCTGGCCTCGGGGTCACGCACTCTGACCCTGAGGCCTGCACTTGGCACGGGTCAGTCTCAGCCGCGGGGGCCCGTCCTAACTCGGCGCCGTTCTCCCTGCTCTCACCGTCACTGGCATGGAAGCTGGGCCACAGAGCAGTGTGCGAGCGGGAGCCCTTTCTAGAAGCTTCCGCTGTTGCTTCCAGCATTGTCCGAGTGTTGCGGGTGGATGCCATGGGCAGTGGACACTGCAAACCAGTCCAGGCTGTAGTTTAAGACACACGGAAGATGACAGGTTATCTGTCATCTGCCGTGCTACCCACCTTGTACTGCCCACCCAGTACTGAGCCCTGGAAGGCTTCCTGGCAGCGGTGGCTTCTGCCAGGTCATTGTCCTCAGTGAGGTGACCGTGGACTGTCCCCAGGAGTGGTTTCCAGCCAGATTCCCGCGTGCGCGCTCAGCCCGGGGACCAGGCACTTGTTTGTTTTGTAATTTAAAATGTTAAATTTTTCTTTTTGGCTCACACTTGGTGGTGCTCAGGGCTTATTTCTGTCTCTGCACTCAGGGTCACTCCTGACAGTGCTCGGGGGGCCACACGGGGTGCCAGGGATGGACCCAGGGCTGAATGTGTGCAAGGCGAGCGCCTGCCCTGCTGGGCTATCACTGGCCCGGGCATCCTGGACCACTGCCCGTGGCCCACAGCTCAGAGGCAGCTCCAGGCGTCGAGGTTTGGGGGGAAGGTCTCCCCCTGCAAGCTCTGCCCACGGACACACGCGATAGGGCTTGTCCCTGTTCACCCTCAGGGCGAGGCACAACTGACTGGCCCCCCGCCGAGGCTCCACCCTACCTTGGGGCTGGCCACCGGCTCACGGCTCACCCTTGACCCCAGCTGCCCCTGCAGCCTGGTGGCCAGATTCCCTCTCCAGCTCAGCTGGGAGGCGGGGGGGGGCACTGCTTTCTGGAAGTTTCCTGGTCCTTCCCCATCCCGGCGTTCCGTGGGATGTGTTAGTGCTGAGCCCTGGTCTGACTAAGCCTGATCCTCCGTGTCCTGGGTGCAGTGCTGGGCGGGGCACCCCGACCTCGCCCGCTCACCCCCCAAGTATGCACGAGCACCTGGTGTCCCACGGGATGTGCAGCCCCAGACAAGCCCCGGGTGACCGAGAGCTGAGTGCGAAGCCGCCGCGGGGCCCGGGAGGGACCGAGCATCTCCCTCGCCCGGGACACGGGGTCAGGGGCACCCTCGCGAGATGGAGACGAAGAGACAAGCGCGCGCCCACCCCCGCAGTGAACTGGAGAGAGGCCGGGGCTGCGGCGAGCAGGAAGTCACGAAAGCCAGGTGACCTCACAGGCACGGCCGCGTCCCGGACCCCGTCTCCGCCTCCATCAAGGGGGCTGAGGGTGCCAGAAGCCTGGGCACACGCCCCACGAGGTTCTTCACTGCAGGCCACGTCCACGGGCCCCGCCACGCTCTTAGCTGTAGACCTGACGGTGGCCACGGAGTCCCGGGTGCGTGTGCTGGATCTCCAGCTCCGGGGGTCCCTGGGAGGACCGGGGGCCTCTCTCCGCCCCACGCGGCAGTGCCGGCTCAGTGATGGGACCGGCGGGGCCCGCAGGAGCGTGAGCCGGAAGGTGGGCAGCACTGCCCTGCCGCTCCTCCGCGCGGGCCCGTGTCCAGCCACTGTCCTCTTGCGGCGGTGCTGGGAGGGCACCAGGGACCTGCCCCGCCCGAGTCAGCGGCCACGACTACACGTGCACACAGGCGTGTCCACGCCAGGCCTGCCCGTGGGGGCATATGCACCCAGAGGGCTGTGCACGCACTTTCACACCTGCCTACCTGTGTGTGTGCAGGTGTGTGTATGCACACACGTGTCCACACACCCGCATGTGCCGTGCGAGCACGGTGGAGCGTTGAGCGCGCAGCCTTCGTGAACAAGGCAGAACGAGGTTCGTTCGACTTGGGTTTTGGGTTTGGGGTCACACCTGGTGGGCTGAGGGCCGAGTCCTGGCTCTGTGCTTGGGGACCCCTCCAGCTGGGCTCCGGAACCCTTGGGGGTTCTGGGGATCAAACCTGGGTGAGTCATGTGCCAGGCAAGTGCCCTGCAGTGCTGCCATCTCTGAGGCCCACATTTGCTTTTTTTTTTTTTTTCTTTTTGGGTCACATTGGGCGATACACAGGGGTTCCTCCTGGCTCTGCACTCAGGAGTTACTCCTGGCGGTGCTCAGGGGACCATATGGGATGCTGGCAATCGAACCCGGGTCGGCTGCGTGCAAGGCAAACGCCCTCCCCGCTGTGCCATCTCTCCAGCCCCACGTCTGCTGTTTTGAAGTTGACCCGAGACCCTCCGTTAGGCCACTGCTGACCAGCCGGCGCGTCTGTGGCTCTTTCATGGACGCTCCCAGGCTGCGGGGTGCACCGCCGCCTGCTGGGGATCCCCTTCCTGGAGTTCAGACAACCCGCTGAGTCATAGAGGCCGTGCACATTCAGGCCTTGGGGGGTGCCCTGCCCCGGCTACGTCAGTCAGAACCCCGAGCTGCTCCTGGGTGACGACTCGGCTCTCCCCCTGCTGCATCCACTGCCCGCCGGGACAGGCTCCCGGACGCCTCCCAGGGTCCCACGTCACTGCTGGGCTCCCCTGAGGCCGGGGAGCTCCCACAAGTCCTTGAGCCCCCTCCCCCGCCAAGGGTATTTATATCTGGGTTGAGGCTTGTCCAGGCCCCGGCGTCTTCCCAGAGCTGCTGGGAACTGGCAGCGGTTCTCAGAGCCTCCTGGCTGGGGAGGTGCGGCCGCGGGGGCACCCAGGGGGCGATGGGCGAGGACCCTGACAGGCTCTTGGGGTCCCGGGGACTCTCAGGAGTGCTCCAAGTGCCCTTGGGGCCAGGGCTTGCCTGAAGGGGGGTCTGAGAGGCGCAGCCCAGGGTCCTGGGGCAGGAGACCCCAAGTTCTTGCCTGAGCCCAGAGGGAGGGCCGCGAGCCTTTGGGGGACCCCCTCCCCTGCACAGGGCCCGCTCCTTGGTCCACGCGTCTGCCAGAGGGGCGATACAGCTGCGGCCCTTCATTCCTCACTGCCCCCGCCTCCCTCTGCTTCCTTCCAGAACCTTCCTTTCCTCGCCCTCAGCACGCTCTCGGCCGCCCCCGAGCCATGCACCGGGTCCCCACGGGCGCCGTGCCGCTGGGGCTGGCGCTGCTCGTCTGCGGGGCCCACGGCTTCCTCCTGGGCAACGTGACGCAGCTGGAGAGGCTCCTGGGCAAGTACCAGGGGGCCGAGCCGCACGGCCGCGCACGCCGTGCCATCCCCCACGCGGACCGCGAGGAGATTCTTCTGCTGCACAACAAGCTGCGAGGCCAGGTGTACCCCCCCGCCTCCAACATGGAGTACATGGTGAGCCACCGGAGGGGCCCGCTCCGAGCACCGTGACCGGAGTCTCCACAGGGAGATCCGCGAGGGACGTCTGGGCCTGTGTCCCGAGTCGGGACCCCCTGTCCCTGCCCTGTTTTCCCCGACCCGCCTTTGTCCATCCTCTGCCTTTGGGATGTCCTCAGTGGGGGGCCAAGGGGTCCCGAGAGGGGACGTCTATGACCCCGGCCCTGATCCCTGACCCTCCCCCAGTCCCTGCATGCCCGCGGGGTGCAGGTGTGTGCGGCCACGCTCACGCCTGGGGCTCCGCGGGACGCACCTTGGTTTTTCTGCTCTCCCCAACCCCCCTGCAGCCGGGGGAGGTCAGGCCCCTTCTTGGCGGGGCCCCAGCTCACCCAGGACAGCCCTCCGCGGGCACTGCCACCCTGCCTCCGTCTCAGTGACGGGTTTTCCGCTTTGGCCGGCCGCATGCCAGGCTCATTCTGGTGGTGATCCGGGCTGGGCTGGTGGAGCCCCTTGAAACGGCCCAGACGCAGATGTGACCCCTCTGGGGCTGCAGGCAGGAGAGACACGCCTCAGCCGTCACTCCAGGTGTCCCAGTGAAGCTCCCTGCTGCCCCCCCCCGGCCCAGCCTGGGCCACGAATGCACTTAATCGGGGAAACTGAGTCACAGAAAGGGGAGCCACCTCCCCCGTCCCCGGCCCACCAGGTTCTGCTCACCCCTGCACGCTGCCACCAGCACTGCTCTGCCCTGCTCCATCCCAGAGGGCAGAGGGTCCGAGGGTCTTCCCTGCAAGGGGCCCCCGCCTTGCCCGCGGGGGACGTGCTTGACTGAGCGGCACAGGGGGTGGGTGGGGGGCGTGGGAGGAGGCAGGGCCTCCGCGGCCGCGTCATTGGTGTTCGGGTGCATCACCCGGGCATGTCTGCGTTACTCACACACGCATCGCCCATGCATGATCCACACACGTGCCTCCGCGGGCCCTGGCCCCTGCCTTACCCACGCTTCATTCCAGGGCCTGTGCTCACGCCTGGGCCGCGCCCGCCGCATCCTTTCACCTCTGCCAGGCCCCGGGGTCAGGCGTGCGAAGTGTTCGCGCCTGTCACTCTGGGGTGAGACACGGGGAGCGCGTCAGCCACGAGGGACCCCGCAGGGCCGAGACAGGCCAGGGCTGGCACTGCACACAGCCCTCTCTGCGCCACCCCCGACTCCCCGGACGTCCCCGAGCCCCTCTCATTCTTCCCCAGGCCGGGTGGGGGCAGCGGGCTGAGGAGGGAGGGGCGTGCAGCGCCCCCCAGCAGCAGACTGTGAGGCCTGGCGTCAGGCCCGCCGGGTCAGGCCGTCTCCCCCTCCGCGGGTCAGGACTCCAGAGAGACACGCAGGGGGCCGGGCCGGGAAGGGGTGGCCCGCGAGCTTCTGTCCGCCCGGCTCTGACCCCTCCCGCTTCCCTGCAGACCTGGGACGAGGAGCTGGAGCGGTCGGCGGCCGCCTGGGCCCACGAGTGCCAGTGGGAGCACGGACCCACCCACCTGCTTGTGTCCATTGGGCAGAACCTGGCCGTGCACTGGGGCAGGTGAGTCCCGATCCGTGGGGCTGGCGGCTGGTTCTGCTGCTTCTCGGCCCGTTTGCCCTAGGCTGGGGCAGCCACAGGCACCCGGGGAATGTTCTCTGGGCCTCTGTCCCTCCCGGTCCAGCCGTGGGGCAGGGGCTGGCTGCCCACCGCTCCTCTCTCCCTGGTCCAGGCCGTGGCTGCCCCCGCAGGTGGTCCCCAGTGGAGCCGCCCCTCCCAGACCCTGCAAGTGACGGGGGTGGTTCTGAGGTGTGGGTGCAGAGCACGGTGAGAGACTCCGCTAACAGTGCTCATGGAGCCCCTCAGGGCCAGGGGAGCTCAGGTTGGGGTGAACACTTGGTTGTCGGGACCCAAGTCCTAACCCCTGAGCACCACTGGGTGTGGTTTAGAGGACCCCAGCCTCCGCCGCTGGGTGTGGCCCTGGTTGGTGACGCCTCTGGCTGGGAGCAGCCCCACCTCCTCGGCAGCCCCCCCCCCCCCCGAGCCCCCAGTGCTGCGGGGAAGTCTCCCCAGAACAACACGTAGAGCCTCTCCGGACCACAGGCTGCAGGGCGGGTGCCAGCCGTACACACTCGGTTCTGGGTTTGAGCCCTGACACCCCATGCGGTGCCCTGAGGCCCCCAGGAGAAATTCCTGAGTGCAGAGCCAGGACTAAGCTCTGAGCACTGCTGCTCAGGGATTGACCCCAAAACCGAAACTAAATATTCTCTCAAGCACAGCTCGGGAGGGGGCCGCACCCCAGACTCGGCAGCTCCGGGCTCTGGCGTTGAGGGTCACCCGGAGGAGACGCAGTGACCTAGTCAGTCGCTCAGGACACTGGGAAGGGGACTCGGGAGGGGTCCCATGGGGTCCCCCAGGTGTCCTGCAGGTGTCCCGCAGGTGTCTCCCAGTGTCCCACAGATGTCCTGCAGATGTCCCCCCCCCAAGTGTCCCCCAGGTGTTTCCCAGGTATCTCCCAGGTGTCCCGAAGGTGTCCTGCAGGTGTCTACACAACACAGCTGTCCTGTTTTGCCCGAGGCAGCCCTGCCATTTCCCAGAAGCCCCCTCCGAAGGCCCTGAGAGGAAGTTGGGGGAATTCCTGCTCCTGGTGAGGCCCCGCAGTGGGAGGCTGCGCTGGCCTTGGCTGGGCGTGGGGGGCGGTCAGCGCTCACGGCCTCCCTCACATCTGACCACCCCCCGCTCCTGTGCAGGTCGGAGCAGCTGCCTGGGGGCTGAGGCAGAGGGATTTGGCCTTCCTCTCTCCGGGCTGGGTCGGGCAGTCCGCACCTTCTTGTGGGATTCTTGAGGAAACCCAGGAATGAAACTGATGCAAACATCGCATCAGGTTTGGGGCAAAGACCCCAGCTTCGGGACGGAAATCAGCAGGAAGCTTTCTGCTCATTCTCTGGCCTGACCCTGTGACCCGCCAGCCGGCCTGCAGCTACTGGGCCCCTGGGTGGGGGGTGGGGGGGAGCCCTGCGGCCTCGTAGCTTATGGACCTGTAGGACAGCATCGGAGTGGGGGGCTCCCGCACAGGGACTCCGCCTCTCCTCCCTGCCGGAGCCTCTCATTTGTGCTTTTTGGGGACAGCCTCGGGGGCCTGAGTCCACACCTGAGTTGAGGCTCTCGGAGCACTGCCCAGCTCCGGGCCAGGGTCAACCAGACCCCCCTCCAGGCTTGTGCTGCCTGGGGACTCTGTCCCGGGGTCTCCTGAGTGTCGGGCGCAGCGGGTGGGCCTAACGCGGCGCTGGACCCCCCAGGTACCGCTCTCCCGCCTTCCATGTTCAGTCCTGGTACGACGAGGTGAAGGACTACACCTACCCTGCCCCGCACGAGTGCAACCCCTGGTGCCCGGAGCGCTGCTCGGGGGCCATGTGCACCCACTACACACAGGTGAGCCCACCCCCTCCCCGCCAGCCTCACCTTAGCGCCCCCCTTTCAGGACACTCCCACATCCCGCGGTGCCCAGGTCGCGGTGCTTCCTTGTGTCCCCTTGGTTTGCTTCGTCCTTGAAACAAACGTGGGGCGTGTCCACACCCCGCAGCTCTGGTCCCTTAGCCTTGGCTCCTGCAGCCCCAGCCCGCCCCTGATGCCCGTGTCCTTGCCCTAGATCGTCTGGGCCACCACCACCAAGATCGGCTGTGCCGTGCACACCTGCCCGAGGATGAGCGTGTGGGGCGATGTCTGGGAGAACGCCGTCTACCTGGTCTGCAACTACTCCCCCAAGTAAGAGCCAGCCGCGAGACCCCCGCCGGGTGGGTCGCACGGCGGTGGCCGTGGGTCCCCGAGCAGCCCCGCCGGTGGCCCCTGGGCGCGGGGAGGCCCGGCGGGTCCCTGGAACTCGGGCGCGTGCTTCCTGGCTCGGCACTGGGGACGCACCCAGCAGCAGGAGCACCGAGGAGCACGGCAGGGAGGACTCTGTGCTTCCAGCCGTCGGTCCCCAGCGTCCCCCTCCCTCCTGCCACTGGCCAGGGCTAATTTCCGCAGAGACTGGACAAGAACGCCCAGGGGCTTCCACCTGAAAACGCCCCTGTGGTTTCTACCAATGAAGTCGCCCCGGTGGGCTCCAGCCAATGAAATTGCTCCCTGTTGGGCTCCAGCCAATGAAATCGCCCCAATGACTCCAGCCAATGAAATCGCCCCCAATGATTCCAACCAATGAAATTGCTCCCTGTTGGGCTCTAGCCAATGAAATCGCCCCAATGACCCCAGCCAATGAAATCGCCCCCAATGATTCCAGCCAATGAAATTGCTCCCTGTTGGGCTCCAGCCAGTGAAATTGCCCCAGTGGACTGGCTGGCCAGTTTCCTTGCGTCTTGCTGTTGACTTTCTCAATTTTTTTCTCAAAATGGGAATTCCTAGAAAGCAGCTCAGCGAGCTAGACCTGGTGTTCACGGGTGTTCACAGCCAGCCTCTCTGGGGTCCGGCTCCCCGCAGGCCGAGCCCACCAGGTTACCCCCTCTTTGTGCTTGCGGGGGCCTCCGGCACGCACAGGTGCCCGGAACGGCCTCGTGCGCTGCTCTGGGTCCGAGCACTGTGAGCACGGAGCCGCCGCGGGAGCAGGGCTGGGACAGGCTCCCAGGAGGAGGGCCGGGGAGGCCCAGCTTCCCGGTGTGAGGGAGGGGCAGGAGCTCCCGGCCAGACCGTGGTGGCCCACGGGGCCTTTGCATTGGCCTGTTTAAAATCAGCTAGGGGCTCCCTTAGAACCATCCTCCCCTTTTATTTTATTTTATTTTAATTATTTTTCTCGCCCAGCTTAGAACTTCTACCTGGCTCTGCGCTTAGGGATGACTCCTGCTAGGGCTCGGGATTGGGGTGTGGAGATGGAACCGGGCCAGGCCCTCCCCACTGTCCCTCCCGCCTCGCCTCCTTTTCTTAAGGGCCAGTGCCGGGGTCCTCGGGTCCTCGGGTGCTCAGCTAGCCCCAGAATCCTCCACACTCCCCACTCTGCTCTGTCTCCAGAGGGAACTGGATTGGAGAAGCCCCCTACAAGAGTGGCCAGCCCTGTTCAGAATGCCCCCCCAGCTACGGAGGCAGCTGTAAGAACAACCTGTGCTACCGAGGTAGGAAACGCCGGGTTGGGACCGGAGGGTTGGGACCCTGGGACAGCTGGGGGGCCAGAGGCGTCAAGGGTCGCCCCCCCCAACCCCGGGGGTCCTTGTGGCAGCCCTGCCCGGTGGCTTCCCAGGCGGATGCAGATCAGACACCGCCAGGACACTGGGAGCAGAGGCCGGGCGGAAGCCCTGGCACCCGGGGTCCACGCAGGCTCCTCGCTCAGGCTTCAGGCAGCTTTCGAAGGGGGTGTCTGAGGGTGAGCACAGGCTCTGCGTGCTGGAGCTCCGGGTTCCGACCCAGCCCTGCACAACACTCCCCCCCACCGCCCTGCAGGCCCCAACCCTGCATGATCCCCCAGCACTGCTGGGTGCAGCGAAAAGCTTTTAAAAATAAAAAGGGAAATTTGGGGGCCAGCACGTGGTCAGTGGCGGGGCACTCGCCTGGCATGCGTGTGGCTGTGGGTTGACTCTGGGGGGGCCCTCTGCCCCCCATCTCCGTCTCCATAAGGGGCGCTGTGCCTGAGGCCTTTCTTGGTCGGGCTCCGGCCTCGAACTCTGTCCCTGGAGCAGGGCTGGCCCCGGGGGCCGCAGTGAGTCCTGTGGCTCCATGGTGGACCCTGGGGTGGGGGCTGGGGGGTCATGGATTCCGGGGTGAAGTGGCAGGGTCCCGGGCCCTCTCGGGAGCCGTGGCTGCGCTGCTGGTCCTGCTGCCCGAGGGCGACCTTCGACCCCCACTTCAGCGCGGCCCTAGGCTGAGCACAGGGCACGGGGCCACGGGGCCGACTTAGCCCAGGTGTGCAAGGCCCGGCTTGGGCCTTGGTGGGAGCGTTCTCTGGGGAGCAGGAGAGCGCGGGCGAGAGCGTGTGCCGGGACCCACATTTGCCGAGCACCTGCAGGCTCGAATTCAGGGTGGGGGCTGCGGGAGGAGGCGGGGGGCCGTGCCCCCCTGGGTGTCTGAGCCTGGGGAGGAAGCGTGCCCGGTGAGGCGCAGGGAAGTGTTTCAGGAGGGGACAGACGGGTGCCTGCACATCCCACCCACACCCGGGCCTCAGTTTCCCCACCTGGGAGTGAGGGGAGCAGACTTCCCTTGAGCCCTGGCCGGCAGGGTGAACAGCAGCTGGCACTGAGGGTCCTTCGTCTTCAGTCCTTGTCAGCCCCTGGGAGGTACAGGGGACCTTCCTGTCTGCCCCTAAGGCCCTCACGGTTCTCCTGTGGCCTCATCTCTCTTGGACCCTGGCTGGCAAGTGCCTCCTTCTCTAGTGCTGTGCCTCTTCCAGGGAGCCCTCCCTGATTCACACGGGCCAGGCACCTGCCTCCCTGCGCGGAGGCACACAGCCTCTCCTTGCACCTGTGGTTGCAGCTGTGTGCCTCTCGGGCGCCAGGACCCGGGCAGAGGTGCTCCCTGTCTGCAGCCGCAAGCTCAGAGGCGCATTTCCAAGGAGCAGACACCGCAGAGATACTTGAGAAGCCGCTAAGCCGCCCCCAGGCGTCCTGTCTCGGCTGCTTTATTTTTGGTGGAAAATTCCCAAGTCCCCTTGGCAGGGGAGCAGAAAGTCTGGCCCTGCTGAAGTTCCCGCAGAGCAGCTTATCTGCCTAAGGTCCTTAATCGGGCTGGGGGTGCGGCAGGCCGCGGTGACCTCTGGCCCGGCTCAGGCCCTGAGGCCTTTCCCTGGCAGAGTCACCGGGAAGACTCTCCCTGGGCGTCCAGGAGTGGCTAGACCTCTGAATCCGCTTTGCGGCCGGTGCCCAGGGGCTGGCCAGGCCTCCCGAGGGCGTCTGAGTGAACCCCGGGGACAGTGCTCGCTTTGGGCGCTCACGGCCTGCACACAGGCCCTGCCCAGTGTCTATCTGGGCTGGCCGGGGCCAGATCCGCTGACCCGGGCGCGGAATTTCCCCAGGCCTGGCGGTCCTGGGATGCAGCCCCTCAGCCCCTTTCATGTGTGGGAGGCAGGACTGTCCGCCTGAGTTCTGAAATAGCCCGGCCAGACCGTCAGGGCTGAGAAAGCCACGAGTCTGGGCTGCGGGTCCCGCCGCCGGTGAAAGGACACTGCACCTTCCAGAGAGAGGCCGGGCCACCGGTCTGAAAGGGCGCATTGTTGCATGTGGGGCTTCTCCAGACCCCGAGAAGCTCGGGGCCCAGGGGGCATTCGAAATTCCGTGCCTGGAGATTTGGAACTCTCCATCCCTGGACACGTCTTCCCAGAAGAAAAAGAATTCTCTGGGGAGCCCGGCAATAGCTCTCACTGCAGTTTTATTGAGCAGCTACTGTGGCTATGAGGCAGCCGGGTCGTGTGGAGCCAGACGGACCAAGTGACTCTGGGGGTGGGAGCTGGGCCTGGGGGCCATCATGGAACTGGGGTGCTGAGAAAGGGGCTGAGCGTTGGTGACGAGAGTCCTGGGGACACAGATGGACATTGGGGGGTGCAGAGGCAGAGGGGGGTTCAAGCAGCGTGATGAAGCGAAGACTCCGCCCAGAGGAAGCGTAACTTGGGGGCAGAGCTCAAAGTCACTCCTGGGACTCCGGGCCACAAGTGGGCAGGAGGAGTGGACAAGGAACCACTGAGCGTCCAGGTGTGGGTGCGAGGCTCCAGGCCCCGTTAACCGCTGCCTTGGGGCCCGGCTGACCGGCTGGTAGATTTCCACTGAGCCTGGCCCCGTGGGGTGTGGCCTCAGCCCCTCCCCACGCCCAAACTGTCTGTTTCTCCCCCTGCCGTCCAGAAGGGACCCACCCCACAAAGCCTGAGCCGGATGAGGCGAACGAGGTGGAGACGGTGTCCAGCCCCGTGGGGACGCAGGACTGGGCCCCGCCCCGTGCCACTCCTCCCCGGAAGCCGGAGAAAGCCCCCGCCGTGAGCTACATGGGTGAGTGCCTGCCTGCCCGCCCACCCCTGCAGGGTGGGAGCTTTGGACGGGGCAGCGGTGCCAGGACAGCGGTGCTGGCGTGGGCGGGGCGGGCACCAGAAGGGCACGCACCCAGCGGTTTCCAGAGCCTCGGCTGGCAGGGCGGCGCCCGTCGTCCTTCCAGATGGGCCTGCGCTGAGTCGGGACCCTCCAGGCTCCCGGGAGAGCTGGCCCCAGGGATCCAGCGTCCACCTCGCTCTTCCACAAAGTGGGGGCCCTGGTGCCCCATGGGTGAGCACTCGGCAGCCCCATCCAGGTCAGCAGCCCCCGGGGCCAAGACCCCTTGGAGGAGCGTTTACTGCGCCCCGAGAGGCTGCTGGGATCGGGCCCTTGTCCCAGGCTCCCCTCAGCACCCGGGGTGCCTCGACTTCCCCAGATGGACAGAGTTCAGGGCCCCTTTCCTGCATGCTCTACTCACTCCTTTGGAGCTGGGTGGGGGGCCCCAGTGTCCAGCCCCGGCCTCCATGTTCTGTCCATCAGGGAGAAGCCGGCTGCCCTGCCTCGTAACCCCCCGGCCCTGCTCCCGGGACCACTCCCCGGCCTGCTAGCCTTCCGTCCATTTGTGCGTCTGTCCGCTGGGAGTTTTTGTTGGCCAAGGGCTGGGCACTGGGCGTCTCTCAGGACAGGGTGCCGTGAAGCGACACGCAGCTATGGTCTAACATGACTGGCGGCCAGCGTGACGGGACAGTGGGGAGGGCATGCACCTCGCACGCAGCCAGCCTAGGTCCCATCCCCAGCACCCAGGAGGGTCCCGAGTCTCCCCAGGAGGGGGCCCGAGCACAGCTGGTGTGGCCCCAAACCAAAAGAAACCAAACCGAAACAAAACAAAAATGCTTATCTTTGATCCAACCACAGTGCTTGTCCACAAGTCTGATAATTCTCCGTCCAATTTACAGAATAGGAAGCAGAGCCCAGCCAGCTGGCCGTGGGGAGCCGGGTGGGCAGGCCGGGTCCCCCCACCTCGTGAGCCCAGCCCTGCGCAGCCCCGGGGCCCCTGGAGACCTCAGCTGTCCTCTGGCGTCCGGGACTGGGGTGCTGCATCCTGCCCCTTTGTCCCTAGGCCTGAGGAACCCCCGCAGGCCCCGGGGCCTCTGCTCTGTAAGGGGGTGTCTCTGGGCGACAGCCTGCGCCCCCTCTCACGGTTCCGGAATGTTCCAAACAGTTCTTCCTAGTGGGGGCAGGGGACAGTTGGTTTCGCACCTTCCCTCCGCCCACTGTGACGTGCCTTTCTGCTTCTGCCCCTAGCCCAGACCGTCAGCTGTGACACCAAGCTCAAGGACAAGTGCAAAGGGTCCACGTGCAACAGGTAGGGCGTGGGGGGCCCCAGAGCCGGCGCCCGCGTGCACCCCACCGACTCGGGCCCGTCCCGCCCCTCGGAGCATGCTCAGCGCCTGCCCCGCCCCTTCAGGGCATGCCACGCCCCCTCAGAATAGGCTCCGCCCCTCAGAGTAGGGCCCGCCCCACCCACTCCTCAGGGCCCAGCTCGCCCCGCCCCCCTTAGAGCTGCTCAGCGCCTGACCCGCCCCTCACCGTAGGCTCCGCCCCTCAGGGCATGCCCCGCCTCCCTTAGAGCTGGCCCCGCCCCCTAGGGTAGGCTCCACCCCTTGGAGTAGGCTCCGCCCCTCAGAGTAGGGCCGCCCCGCCCCCTCAGGGCCGGCACCCAGGGGCCCGAGTGCACCCACCCTGCCGCTAATGCCGGGAGCCTGAGGGCCGCGGGGCGATGTGCCCACCCCGACCACGAGTCCTGCCCGCAGGTACCAGTGTCCGGCGGGCTGCGCGCGCAGCAGGGCCAGGATCTTCGGGACCCTGTTCTACGAGAGCGTATGCGAGCGGGGCGCGGGCGGGGGGCGCGGGCGGGGGGCGCGGGCGGGGCCCGTGCCTGTCCCCACCAGCCGGGACTAATCTGCTAATCTGGGAAGGGCCCTGGTGGCCTCTGCTGGAAGAGGGGGATTGTGGGGATAAGCCGGGCACAAAGGCGCCTTGTGGGGTGCGGGGGAGGGGGGGGCGGGTGCCGGGTCAGCCTGGACCCAGCCGGACTCCTGGCCCTTCCTCCCAGTCCTCCAGCATCTGCCGGGCGGCCATCCACTACGGCGTCCTGAACGACACAGGGGGGCTGGTGGACATCACCAGGAACGGGAAGGTCCCCTTCTTCGTGAAGTCCACAAGGAACGGCGTGGAGTCCTTGAGGTAGGAGCCCAGTCCCCCAGTGCTCCCTGGTCCTCCCTTTGCTCCCTTGGGCAGGGCGGAGCTGGGGGGCGCTGCTGGGGAGGGAAGACCGGGTGGGCTGGGCAAGACCGTTGTCCTGGCTCAGACCCCTGGGCATGGCCCTGCTCCCTCTGTCCCTCCATCCTCTCCCTGCCCCTTTGCTGGGGGTTCTGTCCACGTGCCTAGGAATTCCCACCATGGTGCAGGGCCTCGGTCTCGTGGACACTGAGGAGTGGGCAGGCCAGGGCCAGCCCCCAGTCTGCCTCCTCGGGATCCCGCGTTCTTGGGGGTGACGGGGGGAGCCGCACCAGCCCAGGCCTGGAGGCAGCCCTTACCTCCCCAAAATAACGCCTCCAGGGCCTGAGCGAGAGCACAGCAGGGAGAGCGTTTGCTTTGCACATGGCTGACCTGGGTTCGATCCCCAGCACCCCATCTGGTCCCCTGAGCCTAGTCGGAGTGATCCCCGAGGACAGAGCCAGCCGTTGGCCCTGAGCATCCTGGGTGGACCCCAAAACAAAAGAAACATCCAGCTGCTCTGAGCAGGGTCTGGGCCTGGGCCCCGCACACGGCCCCCGAGCGGCCGACGGCCCGTGCAGATGCTCCGTCCACGCTCACCTCTTTGTCTGTTTCCTGCAGTAAATACAAGGCTTCCAGCTCATTCACGGTGTCAAAGGTGAAAGGTAAGTTGGGGTGGGGGTCCCCTCTGGTCCCCTGCCCACCCTGCCTTCTCCACACGCTGGGCGGCCCTGCGGAGGGAATGGTTTTGGGGTGAAAGGCCTTCCGACCTGTCGGAGTCGCTGGGTTCGGTGTCAGCGCCCGCTCCTGTCTCTGGAGCCGAGACTGAGGGATGGGAGGGGGGTGCTGGGAGGGCTGAGGTGAGGCGCGGGGTGCGGGGGTCTCTGCCCCGACTCTCCCTCTCGCGGGCGCTGCGTCCTGTACCACACTGGCAGGAGGGCACGCGGTTGGCACGGGCACATGTGGCCGCATGGGTGTGGCCTTCCAGGACACAGGCCAGGCTGAGGCGCTGTCAGACGGGGCCCCCGCTCAGGGCCTTCAGGGGCTGCTCCCACGAGTGCTCTCCGGAGAGGAAGGGAGCCGCGCGGTTTGCCCCTGGCTTGCTGAGCCCGTCTGATGGACCCCCTGGGTGGGACAGAGGAGAGGCAGGGGCAGCCTGAAGGCAGATACCCCCCATCCCGGCTGCTCTGAAGATCGGGATTTGGTTTGGTTTTGGGGGGCTTTTTGGGTCACACCGGGCGATGCTCAGGGGTCACTCCTGGCGGGGCTTGGGGAACCCTATGGGATACTGGGAATCGAACCCGGTTCGGCCGCGTGCAAGGCAAACGCCCTCCCCACCAGACTGTCACTCGGGCGGCATGAAGATCAGTTTTCTTGGCACAGGGGTCCAAGCGGGGGCACCCTGGCACGGTCCTCACCGCTGCAGGGCCGAGAGCCGCCTTCCTGCCCAGTGGCCCCGGCAGGCTGTGTGGCACCACAGGAGACGGGGTGCCCGCTGGGGGCTCGGATCCCCACGCCCCAGTTCTCTCTTCTGTGCACCGGACACAGGGGAGCGGGTGGAAGGATGGCTGGGACCCCCGAGGGACCCCCGAGCCCTTGGGAGTGACGGCCGCTGTGCCCTTCACAGTGCAGGACGTGGACTGCTACACCACCGTGTCCCAGCTCTGCCCCTTTGAGAAGCCGGGCACCCACTGCCCGCGGTAAGACCCCACGGGCTCGGGAGGGGCTGGGGATCGCACCGGGGTCTCCCCCAGCTCGTCTCGACGTGACCCTTGAGTGTGTGTCCCCAGAAAACAGCTGCCATGTGCGGAATCCAGCCTGTCTGGGGCCTCCCAGGGGGCTGCGGGGGCCACGGCCGCCATGAAGCCACTACTCCGTGGTCTGAGACGCGCCTCTGTGAGACATATACTGACACACACACACACACACACATACAAGTCACACAGAGATTCACACAGACATACTCACATGACTCACACACACAGCCACAACTCACAGACACTCACACGACTCACACAGACACACACAGTCACACTCACCCAGTCACACACAACTCACACAGACACACACACATACTCACAGTCAGTCACACGCACAGTCACTCACAAACACACACAACTCACATAGACACGCAGTCACACACACAGTCCCACAGTCACACTCACAGACACACACGACTCACACAGACACCCAGTCACACTCACATACACATAGACATACTCATACGCACTCACACAACTCATAGTCACACAGCTCACAGTCACACACACAACTCGCAGTCACACAACTCACATAGTCGCACAGACACACAACTCAGTCACAACTCATACAACTCACATAGTCATAGAGACAACTCACACACTCACAACTTGCATAGTCACAGAGGTACACACTAGCACACAATCACACTCGCTCATTTCCGCCACTCACACAGTCACACTATTCACTCACATTCTTTCACACAAACTTCCCACACCCCACTCATTCGCACAGACACAAACACTCATATGTACTCACACACCCACACTCACACTCACCCCGTGTCGTGCGCACACACACACACACACACCCTCGCTCACCACACTGGCTCCCCGTGCCCTGCCCACCCGAGCCCCCAGCCGTCTCCCACCCTCCTGCCCTCCCGGGAGCTGCTCCTGACACGGCACCTGCCCCGCCGGTCACGCCGGTCAGCAGGGCTGCCCCTCCCCAGGGCGGAGTGGGGGGCCCGGGCCTGACACTCTCGCCTCCCAGGGTCCGCTGCCCGGCATACTGCACAGACGAGCCAGCACACTGGGCTCCCGTGGTCGGAACCAACATCTACACAGACGTGAGTGGACCCCACACGCCCACCCCATCGCCACCCGCCCGCCCCCCATGCCCGCCAGAGGCCTCCCGCGTCTCAGTTCGGTGCTCGTGCCTCAGTCTCCCCGCTGACTGCGGCACAGTGCACGGGCTCCCGTGCCAACGGGGTCTCGGTGACACTGGCCTTGTTCTTGCAGCCCCTCGCGCCCTCCTTCCAGAGCCGCTCTGCCCGCCTCCCCCCTGCATGCCCCCCGGCCCTCCCCAGCAGTTGCCACTGAAAGGCTCGTGGAGCCCCTCACTGGCCGCGGCCTCTTGCACTCCGCCTCTGCCCGTCCGCCTCTCCTTCGGTGTAGGGTCAGCGCCAGCCTCATGCCCGGGACAGGGTGGCATATCTGGGGAGTCGCGGGGTGGAGGAATTGACCCTGGGCCCCTGCTGCCGAGCAGGTCAGCCCTGAGGCCCCGCCCCAGACCGGCTGTCTGTCTGTCTGTCTCCCTCCCTCCCTCCCTCCCTCCCTCCCTCCCTTTCTTTCCTTCCTTCCTTCCCTCCCTCCCTGCCCCCCTCCCTCCCCCCTTCCTTCCCCACACCCCGTGATACTCAGGGGCCGTTCCTGGCTCTGCTCAGGGGTGACTGACCCTGGCAGTGCTCAGGGACCATCTGAGGAATTGGACCAGGTTCTGAGTGAGGCAGCCGCGTGAGCGGCGAGCGCTTACCCCTGTGCTATCTCTGGCCTGGGTTTTCCTAGGAATGTTCCAGAACAGTCTGTCCACTCCAGCTGCCCAGGGCTTAGGGACGGGCTGGGCCTCAGCTTGACTGGCCCTGTCATCTCCTGCCAGGCCATTTACCTCTTCATGGGCGGAGCCAGCCAGGTCGCTGGGCAGGCCGGGGTGTCTCCTGGGGCCCCAGGGTGCTCCAAGGGACCCCAAGGATAACCCTGTAAATGCGGGAGTCGTGGCTTGAGATGAGGTGGCCAGCCAGTAGGACAGGGGCCTGGGAGAAAGCCAGGTTGGGGGGGCCACGTGGGAGAAGGCGGAGTCCTCCCTCTGCAGTGCTCCCGGCTTCGTGCACCCCATCTGACCCCGTCTGCTCCAGCTTCCGGTGACCAGGAGGTCACTGGGGTCTAGACAGACAGAGCAGTGAGCCCCCCCCCCCCACCCTCCCCTAAAGCATCTTCTCTCCTGAAAACCGGCCACTCAGAACCGACTTTAGCGCAGAGCCAAGGGCATGTGTTGGCTGTCTCACACCATGTTTTACCTGAAGACAGTGTCCGGGGCCAGAGGGAGAGTTGGGGGCATCAGGTGTTCCATCCCCAGAGTGACAGGACCCCTAAGCCCCCGTGGCCAGCCCTCCCCTCACCCGGACCCCGACACTGGCCGGCTTGAGAGCAGAGAAGGACCTGGGCCTTGTGTTGGTTCTTGACCACGCCCAGCTGTGCTCAGGGACGACCCCGCGAGCTCGGGGGGCCCTGTGAGCCGCAGGCTCGGTGACCCCCGCCGGCCTGTCCTCCAGCCTGCGGCCTTGGTTGTCGAACGCTCAAGAATAAGGATGAGCAGCGTAAGCCAGGCCACGCAGCAGAGTTTGTGCTTTTGATCTGCTGGAAGCAGAGTTGGAGGAAGGAGGCCGGGAGGGGCGGGCGGGCCGGGCGGGGCGGGCGCTCTTGCTGGGAAGTGACGCTGCCGCTCGGAACATCTGTTCAGCCGAGAGGTTTATGTGGAGGGTTCCCTGGCCGTGGAAGGGCTGCACCCGGATTCCTGCACGGCCAGATCCCCGGGCTCAGTCTGGGGGCCCCAGCTGTGCCCTTCGCCCGGGACACTCCAGGGTCAGCCAGGCGCTCACAGCGGTGGCACCTGTGGCAGGGCTGGGTCTGACTCTGACCCAGGATCTGGGCAGGCACGACCCCCGGGCCCCCACTGAGGTGCCGAGACACAGGCCAGGTGGCTCGGGCAGCAGGTGACTGGACAGGGAGCAGGAGCCTGCCGTGCTGGGCACCGCCTGGAATGTTCTGGAAGTTGCAGCAGGCTCGGGGCACTGCCATCCGTCTCTCCAGGCAGCCAGGCTGATAGGGAGGCTCTGAGGAAACCGGCTTCAAAGGCTCCAAAAATTCCATTTCCAGCCCGGAGGGTGGAGGAGTTTCAGAGCAGGCGGCCATGTACATGTGTGTGTGCGTGTGTGCACGTGTGCATGCAGGTGTGTGTGTGTGTCCTGGACCCCACCCTGTGATGGGGGCCCCACCATGGGTCGGGCTCCTCCCTCCTTTGCTATTCCCTGACCTTGTGGGGGTCACAGGCGCTGAGCGGTCGCTCAGGGCAGCCCTGGGCCTGGCTCTGCCTGGCCAGGCCCCAGCTGGAGCGAGCCGGCCCCGGGCACAGCTTCTGGGGCGTTGCTCTGCATTCTGCCCAGAGCTCGGCGCCTCTCCGCCACCCCGGTGGCATCTGCAGGTGCAGAAGGGGCCGCTGGCCACAGTGCCTGCACTGTCCCCAACAGCACTGGGCTCTTGGGCTCAGACTCAGTCCAGAGCCGCCGAATCTGGGGCGCGGGAGTCCCGGGAGAGTGGGTGTGACCAAGCTGTCCCCACATCCCTGCGGGGGTAGAGACCGAGCAGGTGTCCAGGATGCCCGGGCCTGGGCGTGGCTCGTGGCCTCTGTTCCCCAGTGTCTGTGTGGTGGCCCTGCGCAGGGGGGCCTGCGGGTGTGAGACCCCCGCCCTGTCCTGGGACCCGGTCGCCCTCCTCCAGTTGCGGGGAGTGACGTTGGCTCCTTGTCCGGACCCCCGTGGGCTGGTCTCGTGGGGAGGGGGCGCGGGGTCCGTGGGCCGGGCCCCTCCCACACCTGCCCTCCGTGTTGCAGAACTCTAGCATCTGCAAGACGGCCGTGCACGCGGGGGTCCTGCCTGCAGGCAGCGGCGGGCTCGTGGACCTCATGCCCGTGGACAGGAAGAAGGCCTACGTGGGCTCGTTCAGGAACGGGGTGCAGTCGGACAGGTGGGGCTGCCGCATGGGGGGACAGCAGGGAATTCTGGGAGTCCCATTTGGCTTGGGCCTGGCAGCCCTCAGGCTCACTCCGGGCTCTGCACTTGGGGCCCGTGGGGTGTTGGGGACCTGACCCAGGCCCCCTTTCCCGCTGTTGGCCTCGGCCTGGCTCTGGGCCCACTGAGGGGCCTTGTGTTTCCAGTTTGCTGTTACACCAGGCGAGCAGGCCCGCATCCTGGGCTTGGGGCTCTGCGAATTCTGGAGCACTGGGGAGGGAGCCCTGCGGAGAGTGGGCACTGCTGGGCAGTGGCCAGAAAGGCCCCCCCACCCTGCGTAGACAGCAGGTGGTGGGGGCGTTCGTGGGGCTCCTGGCCGCCTTCCCGGGCAGCTGCACCCCACTGGCTGCCCCGGAGCTGAACCCCGAGAAGGACCAGGAAGAGGAGGGGAGGGCGCAGCCTTGGGGCAGGCAGGGGGCGCCCCTCCCCAGCCGCCCACCAGGTTCCTGGTTCTGGGGCTAAGGAGGAACAGGGGCCGGGCCTTGCATGTGGTCGGCACCAAGTCCGTCCTGGCACCCAGATGGCCCCGTATCCTCCCGGGACTGACCCCTGTACTGAGCTGCTGCCCCACGCGGGCCCTGGCACACACGGGCAGGTGGGCGAGGGGAGTGGTTGGTGGCGGGGGCCCCTCGCTGCCCGCATGCCTCCTCCCTGCCCCGGTGACGTGCCTTTCTCCTCCCCAGCCTGCGGGCCCCTCGGGACGGAAACGCCTTCCGGATCTTCGCAGTCAGGCCGTGAGCCCGTGGGGAGAAGGGCCGACCGAGGGCTTCGGGCTTCATCTGGGACCGTCCCCTGCGGACTCGGTGACTCGCCCCTTGTGCTGTCTATTGTCGGGCCCACGCTGCAGCCCCCCGGGAGGGCCTGGATTCTCGACGTGATGGGCCGGGAGGCCCCCGTAGGGATGGGCGCAGGGCGCACGGAGTTTCCTGGCCTGCCCTCGGAGGGCGTTATTTAAGCCACATGGTACGATTCGAACCCAGGGGAGCTGTGCTTCATGTTTGCTGGTCAGACAGTGAGCCGGGCCCAGAGTGGGGGTGGGCTGGGAGCGTGGGTCTGTGCCTGGGGGTCCGCGGCAGCTCCAGGCACGCTCCCATCTGTGCTTGAGCCGCGGCCCCCCAGAGACCCACGAAGCCCCTTCCTCGCCTCCCCACGGCCCGTCCTGCTCGCGCCTGCTCTGCCGCCCAGGTGCCCACCCCTGCCCGTCCCTCGGGGCCGGCCTGGCAGGGCAGTGCCCAGGCTGCTGGGTCAACACTGCTGGGCCAGCCCTTCTCGGGGAGGACGGCTGTCTGGAACATTCTTCGCCGAGGTTAACGGCTCTGGGGGGCGGGGGGAGAGCCTGTGGTCTGCGGCCCTTCCTGCCACTCACGCCGACGGACCGGACCGACTTCCTGTTTGTGCCATTCGGCTCCTGCCAAGTGTTCCTGAGGCTCCGGGGGCGCTCTAGAGCCTCCGGGAGCCCAGACCCCAAACCCACACGAAATTAAATAGTCACCCCGTTTTTTGTAAATAGCTCTTCTTTGCAGAAGGTAAAATTCCATCCTCACTGCCGTCAGGCTGGACCATACATCACTTTGGCATATGCCAGTTTTCCATTTGACCTCAAAACGCACCATCAGGGCTGGAGCAATAGCACAGCGGGGAGGGCGTCTGCCTTGCACGCGGCCGACCCGGGTTCGACTCCCAGCATCCCATATGGTCCCCTGAGCACCGCCAGGAGTGACTCCTGAGTGCAGAGCCAGGAGTGACCCCTGTGCATCGCCAGGTGTGACCCAAAAAGAAAAAAAAAAAACGCACCATCAGAATATCCCCAGGGCCAAGGAACTAGCCAAAAAAAAAAAAAAGAGATCTGGTCAAGACATTCTGTGGCGGTCTGGGGGTGCTCTGAGGGGGGACTGTGTTATTGCAGACGTTAAGGAGCCTCCAGGGACGGGGAATCCGTCTCACACCTGCAGGCATCCCATCTGACCCCTGCGTGGCGGGGCTGCGTCTGGCCTGCCCTGTGCGTCTGTCCGTCAGTCACGGCCACGGCTCGACCCCGAATGTCATGAGAAAGAATGGTCAGCCGTCCACTTGTTGTCCAGGGTCGGCTCTTGTTACTGCTGGCGCTCTGGGGACAACCACACTGTGCCATCATGCCCCGTGGCGCTCTGCCACGGTCTCCCACCTTGGGTGGCCTGCGACAGGACGGTGTGGCGGGACAGTGTGATGCGACGGCGTGGCAGGCAGCGTGGCTGAGCTTTGAGACTCGGCAGCCACCTGGGACATCCCAGTCAGGCTTTGGCAGCGTCACCCGGCGGCAGCAGTGTCCAGGGGTGTCGTTTGAGATTTGGAAATGAGACGCTCGACAATGTGTGGGCAGGACAGCGCCCACGGCCCAGACCTACTGCAGCCCCCCACCCCCCGCCCGGAGACTGGCATCATCGCTCCTGTCTGAATCCGGAAACAAGACGGCACGTGGGCCCTTGTCGTCGCGACGTCCCAGGCTCGTGTCCTGCAGGTGGTCCCTGGGCTGGCCTCTCCCTGTCTGTAGGCTCTGCAGCTTACGTGTATGCTTTTTTCTATGAAAAAATGACAGAAAACTCTCCTGCTTCCTCCGTCCTAATGTCTTTGAGTCTGAGTGTGCGCGTGCGTGGACCCTTCTCTGGCCACTCCAGAGAACCAAACTCCTGTCAGATGCCCCCTTGGTGTGTTTCCTGGGCAGGTCAGGACCGCCCCACCCCTACGCTCCCCCCACCCCCGTGGATGTCCAGAGCCCCGGGAGCCATGACTGTCCCCCCCCCCCCCCCAGAGTGCACAGGGAGAGGCGGGCCTGCGGTCACCGGTGGTTAGGATGCAGAGTTTGGCCAGGTGCTCTGGGAATTGAAACACAGAATTTAGTCTGGAGCAAGAACACAGCAGGGAGGGCATTTGCCACATGTGGCTTGCATGTGGCTGGCCCAGGTTTGATCCCCGGCACCCCATATGGTCCTCCAGGTACTAGCAGGACTGATCCCTGAGCACTGAGCCAGGAGTAAGACCTAAGCACCACTAGGTGTAGCCCCTAAAAAAATTTAAATAAGATCATATGTGTTGGCTCCTGGGACCCCCTGGCTATAAGGGGGTGTCGGGTGCAGCCGGTAGGTTCTGCTCTCAAAGGCGCCCCCACCTGTGGCCAGCCCCCACTTACAGGGCCGCGCCTCCCAGGTGGGGCCTGGGCAGGGTGGGTGCTGGACGCGGCTCCTCCCACCCCCCTCCAGTGTCTGGGCACCAGCCAGGCCGGTCTGCACAGGAGGGAGCAGCTGTCGCTCCGGCCACAGTGGCCGGAGCTGATGGGCAGGTCGGAGGTGCAGAGACAGCTGGAGGGGGTCTCAGGTCCCCGACGCGGGGTCCCACGGAGTCTAAAGGCCACACAATCTCGCGGCCTGTGGCAGGCGAGAACCTGGGGCCCCGCGTGTGTGTGAACATCTGGGCGTGGGGTCAAGAGGCACACGGCAACACGGAAGTGGTGTCCCACAACTGAGCACACGGCACACGCAGAAACGATGTCCCACAACCGAGTACGCGGCACGCAAGACGGGGGCCTAGCCAGGAGAGCGCTCAGTGCCCGGAGCCAGCGAGTGGACGCGGTGTCCACTGGGCTGCACGCAAGTGAGAGGCTCAGCAGGGCGCGCCGGGTCCCGAGACACTCCCCAGGGCCCAACGCAGCGGGAAGGGCAGCGGGGGCGAGGCGCGGGCCCCGCCTCCCTCCACGTCCCTGTGTCCACGGCTTCCAGCCCAGATATGTCCCTGCGTCCAGGAGGGACCCCGCACCTCCGGGGAGCAGCTTCCTGCTGCAGCACGGCCCGGCCCCCAAGTCAGGCGAGAGGCCTGTGGGGAGCAGCTCCGGAGACTCGGGGCCAGGAACTGCCTGTGCCGGAAGGATGGGGCCGGGACGGACCCTGGCCGTGTGCAGACACCCACCAGCAGCGCCGAGCTCCACTCTGAGCCGGGTGATGCCCTCCTCCCCCATTCTGGCACTCACTGGAGGGACCGGCTGACGCTGAGCTAAAGGGACCCTCAGTTTCTCTTAAGGCGGGTGAGAGGCAGGAGGGCTCAGAGCTGGGTAGAGCCTGGGCACCAGGCAGGGGGCCGCAGGCACTCTCTGTGCAGGGGTGCTGTGGGCGCTCTCGCTCCATGCTAACAGCTTTCTGCACGTCTCGAGTGATGTCCAGGTGGAAAGATGACACCCGCACCGGAAGCATCGCCTAAAGCGTCTGAAGTCGACATGCGCCCCTTAGCTCCCGCTCTTGTGCCAAGCCTCACAGGCCTCGAGACTGGAACTGGCACAGCACAGCGGGGAGGGTGTGTCCTGCCCCCTGGGGGGGGGGGACAGAGGAAGAGGGAACCGGGTGCCTGCGGGCGGCTGGAAAGATGGCCAGGAGCCGAGACAGCGGCACGGGAGCGGCACTGACTGCGGCCGGGCTCCATCCACGCCCTGCGCTGAGACAGCTCGAGGGACATCCAGTATCCCGGGAAGAGGCTCCCCAAAACAAAAGCACCCCAAAACCGCCGTGGTCTGTGCTGGTGCCATCCTTCCGGGCGTAGGACATTAACCTCTTGTATCCTCAGAAGAATATCACAGAGCACACACAGAACCACACACACACACACAATTACAGTCACATATGCAGGCACAACTCAGACACGCACACAATTACGCATGTGCGGACATGCACGATCATACATGCATGTACACAGTCATACATAGACATTCATCACATACATATGCATAATCACATGCCAGTTCCCGGTATGGGGCACCCTTCTGCTCCCGGTCCCCAGACCCCCCAGTGCCTGTGTGTCAGCCCTAACAGCGACCTGACAGCACAGACACGCACATACGTGCTCGGGCACATACACATCCAGGCACACGCGTGCTGACATGCACACGGGTGCCCACACGCGCGCCTGCATGTGCCCAGCTTGAGGGTGAAGGACTCGGCTTGTTCTTGGCCCCCGAGCTAATCCCTCATCGGAACTTCCCTCGGAACCAGTTACGTAAGTGTTCTCTGAGGTCTGGAAACTTCCAGATGGCCACACGGCCACCCTCCAGCTGCTCCCGGGACACCAGCCCTGTGGCCACACGGAGAGCCCGACCTGGCCTCTCGGCCGGGCAGTAGTGCTGACCCCCACATCTGGACCCCCCCCCAGGCCTGTCTCCAGCAGAGAGGGGGAGGGGCGCATCCCTGCCTCATCAGAGGCACCTGGACAGCCGCCTCCGCGGCCCCTCAGGATCCCCCCAAAAGCGCATCCACGTCTGGCTGTAGACGCCACGAGGCGGCTTTCGTTGCCACACTTGGTGGGGCGCAGGGACCACAGGGGGGTGCTGGGGATCAAACTCAGGCTGGCCGGATGCGTCGCAAACACCCCACCTGCTCGACTGCCTCTTGGGCCCCACAAGCTTCATTTTGAACAAGTGCCCAGGTTCCCGGAACCCCACTCAGAGACGCAGACACAGGGGGGCCTCACTCTCTCCCTGACTGCGGCCAGGCCAGGAAGCTGTTGTTCCGGGGATGTGGGTGGGCACAACACAGACACGAGCACAGACAGACAGACACAGCCAGAGACAACCAGACGCAAGGAGATGCAGCGAGAAACAATGAGCTACAGGCAGAGAGAGAGAAAGGGAGCGAGGGATGGAGAGGGAGGGAGACGGGGAGGGAGAGAGGGAGGGAGACGGGGAGGGAGAGAGGGAGGGAGACGGGGAGGGAGAGCGAGCGGTGGGTACGGTGTTGCCTTGCGCGAGGCCGACAGGG